CCTTCCCCAACGTCCGGCCACCACAACCGGTTTCCACTTGAAATAACCCTCGACCTAAATCAAATGGAGTAACTATGTGATGCTTGGCCTTCTCTCTATTCTTATCAATTAAATCTGTGATGTATGGGGAGTACTCGTGGCCTTCTGTCACTCTCATTTTACTGGTGTCACGCCTATTAACAAAATAAGCATTAACCCGGTAAAAGGAAACTTAGACCAAAGCGATGATGGGCAAATATCTAGCATTTTTCATCACGCTATTGAAAACCTCTACCAGATTAGAAGTGATGGTACCGTATCTGTACCCGCCATCGTGGTGCAATGACCACATTTCTGGGGGAATGTTCCCCAGAAATTGTCGTGCCTCCAAACTCATTTCACCTGTCTTCTTGAACCCACCATCAAACTTCTTTTTCTGATGTTGTCGTGCGGTCCAGACAAAAAGATTTTTTAGATGAATGTCTTTGAAATGAGTGTGCACATTCGATGCAAGATGGCGGATACATAGCCTATGATGCGCATAAGGCTCCTCCCAAGTACTGCCCACCTCATTCATTGCCCTGACAATACCTCCATGCCGATCAAAAATGACACACAACTCCCGATTAGTGACAAACTGCCTAATACATGCCATAAACCATGGCCAACTATCCCCATTCTCAGATTCAACAACTGCAAAGTCCACTGGAAATATTTGGTTGTTCGCATCACAACCCATGGCCACGAGCAATGTACTCTTGTAATTTCCATACAAGTGTGTGCCATCAATAGTAAGTACGGACCGACAATGCTTAAAACTATGTATTGATGGCTTGAATGCCCAAAAACTATTTGAAACTGCATATAACCTGTGGGAGTATTAGGGGGTGGGTACCACTGCACAATAGTTCCAGGATTTGAATGTTGGAGCGCTGTCATGAAACGAGGCAATTCAGAATATGACTTCTCCCGACCGCCAAATATTTCTGCTATGACCTTTTGCTTCCCCATCCATGTTCTCCGATATGATACAGTATACCCATACTTTTCCTTCAGCATCTCAATGATAGTATGCACTTTAAGGGAAGGATCAGTGTGAACAATGTCAATCACATCTTTACAGATGAAATCTGAAGTCAAAGCCACGTGATCGGTAGTGTCGGTGTTCCCAACACACGTAGCAGAATGAGGTCCAGGATAACGCACAATTGTGAAGGTGTCAAGGTTGCCTTTGTTCTTTGTGGCGCGTATTCTCCAGGGGCAATTACATTCTTTCTTCCTATTGCATTGTGCCACCCATTTTTGTTTATCGGACACTATCACCCGAAAAAATTGGTTTCGTTTGATAGAATACAAGCTCACCATATTGATGACTTATTCTTTGTTGTCAAACTGTTGACCGACCTCAAACTCACCTTCGGGGGTAAACCTTTTCTCACCTGATCCACTCAGCCACGCATCTGTAAAGCCTTCAGGGAGCATTTGAGGAGTTCTCAGCATTCACACCTGCATTGACATAATGCCTAGATACAACAGCATTTGATGTTGATGGAGTACCATAAGCGTCACATATGGATTCCTCAATGTATATCTCAAGCATTGACATGTCCTCCATCTGAACTATGCCCCACATATTTGTTATAGCTAGCTCATCAGTGAGGGGCATAAGCATGTACTTTCCCCCGTTCATGAGAAATTTCATTTTCAAACGCAAAGAACGGCTAGGATAAATCATTGTGGCTGCATGTATTTTTTGAAGGATCTCGAGCATGCGAGCACCACGACAAACCATGACAAATGTGGTTGTACCACCTTCATGGCATATTTGCCCAACATCCTCATAATAGTTCCCTCCCCAATGACATACGATTGGGAAGCTTGAGAAATCCTTATTCTAATAACAATTCAAATATATCCAAAAGTCAAGATTCACAAACAACTCACATTTCAATATGAAAATACCCAAATTTTGATATACATTCAAGTCTACATTTCAATACTCAAATTTAGCTACATTCAAATCCACCCAAATGCCCAAATGTCAAAATACACTTTAAAATTTACAATCAATTTCAAATCAAATTTCAACATTTCATACATATCCACAATTCACAACAACTCAATTCACAATCAATTCATAATCTAAAAATTCGAAAATTTTAACATTCAAAACCCTAAGTTAAAAATGAGATGAAGTGAAGTTTGATTTACCTACAAGAAAGAAGAAAGAGTGTTGAAGATGAAGATGGAGGTTTGCCGGAGTGGGGTCGCCGGATATGGAAGTTCGCCGGAGTTGGAAATGGCTCGGTCGTCGTTCGTCCTTCGTCCTTCGTAGCTGCTGCTTGGGGGATTTGGGGATTGAGTTTCGTTCGCAGTGTTCTGTTTTGTGGCTGACCGCTGTTTTTTACTTAATAGAAAGTCGCCGAACGGTTGGGCGACTTTTAAGTCACCAAATCGTTTGGCGACTTATAAGTCGCCCAACCGTTGGGCGACTTACTCCCGACCACGGTTAACTCAACAGTATATTGATAAATACTTTTAACCCAATCCTATTTTCGTAATTAATTAATTAATTAACATTAATTAAAAAAAAACTCACTTTACTGTACGTAATATATTCGTTAAAGTGGTATATAAGTGTTGTACGTAATGTATTTGTTAATAATGTCTCAAATTTTGGGAAACGACTGATTAGCCAACATTTGGTTGTTTTGAGATAGATTAGCCTATTTGACTCACTATTCAACCAGCCTATATGGTACTCCATCCGTCCCTAATATGACACGGGGATTAATAAAGTAAAAATTGTGTGGTTGAGTTTGTGAAGAGGAGAGAGAATTAAGTGGAACCACAAATTCTTTACTTAAAAAGGAAAGTGACAAAGTTAGTGGGACATACAAAATAGGAAAGTTGACAAAATTATAAGGGACGGAAGAAGTATTTTCCAACTTTTGGCTGTTTTGACATAAATTAACTATTTGACTATTCAACTAGTGTAGGACCGGTACCGGGCCGACCGGGCTGTGAACCGGCCCGGACCGGCCCGTGAACCGGCCCAGTCCGGCCCGTGAACCGGCTCGGCCCGGCCCGTGAACCAGCCCGGCCCGACCCGCTACTGTGCGAGTCCGGCCCGGCCCGGGAGTCGGGTACTGGTTCCGGGACTAGGACCGGCCTGGGGACTTAGGGCGGGGCGGTTCCGGGCTGCCCTTCCTTTGGAACCGGCCCGGCCGTTTCGGGCCTTTTTTCTTATTTTTTTGTTTTTCCAATTTTTTCGTTTTCCCTAGCTGGGTTGGGTGTTTTGGGGGGATTTGGGGGGTGAAGGGGGTTGAGGATTAATTAGAAAAGCAAAAAAAAAAAGGACCAACCCGAGACCTGCCTTGCCCGACCCGGATCTGGTGGAAACCCGGGCCGGTTCCGGGCCTTCCCCCAACAATAAAAAGCCCACCCAGGACCGACCTTGAACCGGTCCATGGCTATATTCAACCAGTCTATAATATGGTCTGATTTGTTTGTCAATTTAAAAATTGCAAATTTTGTATACCATGAGCACCTAAAAGTCTAAAACAATGTTATTGAACTTTAAATTAATTTAAAAAACTCATGCAAACCCTGAGATGATTATTCTCTCCACTTCCAATGTGAAATCTAAATTGTACGCATGAATATATAACTCGCTTAACCTGGGTTATCTACTCGGCAAGTACTCTCTACTCGACCTCTTACCTTGCAGAGTAGCACCTTAACTCGTCCCGAGTTGATTTTCCAAGTTACTCGTCGAGTACGCGGCGAGTTAGTCAACTCGGTGAGTTGGTCAAATTGGCGAGTTACTCGCTATTACTCGGTATATTAAAAAAAACTGCGCAAACCAAAACCTAAAAACTTAGATGGTCCTTTTTGAGCTGGGACTACTGGGAGGAGCTTCGACTACTGGGAGGAGCTGCGGCTACATCTTTTGGAGCTCCAACCGGCAACCGCTACAAGCTGCGATTGCTACAGTGACATCAACGGTAAGTTCTTTGGAGTGTGGACATTATTTTTCATTATTTTCTTCCTTCTCACCTTCAAGATTGAAGTGGTATTTTTTAGTGTGTTGGATATTGCTCTCCATTTAGGGTTTTAAGGGTTTCCATTCCTCTCTTTTCCATTGTTCAATTTTGGTTTTATGTTAGATACTAAATCTAATGTCTAACGGGCTTTGTGTGGCTTTATGAGGAATACTTTTTGGTAGTTTTAAACTTTTAAGTTTTAATAAACACAAATATGCTCATTTATTCTGCTAGGATTCATTTGTTGTTAGAATATGAAATAGTTGTTCTCTATATTGATATCTGGAAAAGTGGAAAGTTCAAGTATAAGAAAGATAATAGGATTTCTATCCTTTTATTCACATCTATGCATTTAAAGACAATTTAAAGTCTATTCAAGACTACTATATTTGTATAATTTCAGGCACCTATATTATTATATTTAATTAATACAAGGCCGAGTAATCGCCGAGTAATCACCGAGTAATCCCAAGTAATCGGTCCTACTCGCTACTCGACCCTTGACCGAGTAGCGAGTAAATAACATAGCGCTTAACTGAAAATGTAATCTCAGGTAGCATCAAATGTAAAACCTTTGAACTTTGAATCCAGTATAGACAATTAAGAATTAATGTAAATAAGGATATACGAAATACTTCTGGGATCGTGACTAAGGCAATGAGGCTTACAGCCCCATTATGACTTTGTTTTATTTCCCCATTTGCATTTTATTATTCAACTTTATTTTCTATTGATTTATTTTTAGGTAAGCACTATGGTTTTAGTACTGCCAACTGCCAAGTGCCAAGATGCTTAGAATCTCCAGCAAACTTAGAAGTATCAAGTCCTATATGGCCACAATAGCTTCCTTAAACCAGCTGACAGTCAGTGATTCTTATTACTCCTTTTTCATATTACTCCTTTACAGGTGGTCATCTTTTTGTCAAGATTTCTATGAAGTTCATTAAAATGTTCCCCAAACACAAAATGTTTCTTTCTCAACTGTCAGTTTGATAGATTATGGATTTTGGCGACTGAAATGTTACATGATCAGCTTCTATGTTATTCCTTCAGTTTTTAAAAATAAAATCTCAAATATATATATCAAGATACAGGCCTAACTCTTCGAAACCCTTCTAAAAATCAACATGTGCCCTAGAAGTTTTTGTGCATCGTTCTTTCTGAATAATAATCCCTTACCATACCTAAATTATACCAAACAAAACTCATAAGATTTATGAGAAGAAAAGTTATTAGAAATTGTGAGGCAATTTACACTTTTCTGGTCAGCAGCAACCAATTTCAGCAGCTTCAAGCCTTAAGTAAAAACAATTCAAAGGGATTGTTGAGACAATTCTCTTTTTAACTCTACCCGCTTCCATCGAGTAGCCCATTGGAGACAAGGTGTGCCATGTATTGCTGTTGGAGAAGTAAGAAAAGTGCAAATCTCATGCATATTACAGTGATCAAATACACATATAAACACTTAAATAGACAATGTGGTTACTAGTTGCAAGCAGTGTGAACTTTTCAGCTGATACCAGATAGCTATGAATATTTTAATACTACTGATTTTTTGGGATTGAAGCTCCGCTTGAATGTTGTGGAAATTAAGTACATCTATGCTTCTACACATGATAGACAAATTTTTAACTCGCAAAAATGGAGCGAATAAGACTGATTAAGAAAACGACTTCCTCCTTTGGGAAAAGAAAGTAATTTTACACACAAATGCAAAAAAATCAAGAAATATACTGTTCTTTGGAGAAATGTTTTCCACCCCAAAAATGAATGGATTGAAATACAATTTTCAAGATAAAAAAATCTTTAAATCAAACGAAGCCTGAATGTACACTTTTTTCATACAAGGAAAGGAGAGTATAGGGAGAACAATATTCCTTCATAACTAATTAGATCGAAGAAAATGAGTAATAGTGAGTGATATTGCATTAAAAGAAACTGCTATATAAGAAAAATATCATCAACTAACCGCATGATATGCGTACGGCGACTTCCCTTGGCGCTCAAAATGTTTGGCCATGATAGACCATTCAACCGGTCCCCACTCTTCCAATTCAAAACAATTGCCAAGTGCAACTTTGTATAACTGAAGCATAACATGGCATTCCAGACACGTTCAGATAAAAAAACTAGGGAGAACTATCAAATAAGCCCTCAAACTTACATAAAAAATGCAAATAAGCCCTTTTATAGGAGGCTCTGTCCGGCCGTCGCCATTTGGGGCGACTTCCGGTGGATTTTTTTTATGAAACTTCTTGAGCATCTTCTTCATTAAGTCTAGTTTACCCATTCCAAATTTAAGCTAAAACGTCAACCGAGAAGGCACTCAAATGATTTTCTGAAATATACTGTGCTGTTTAACTGCGCAGTTATCTTCAAAAATTCATTGAGTGCCTTCCCGATTGAATATTTAGCTGAAATTTGTTATGCGTAAACTAGACTTAATGAATAAGATGGTCAAAAAATTTCATCAAAAAAGTCCACCGGGAACCGCCCGAAATTGCGACTGCCGGATAGAGCCTCATATAAAAGGGCTTATTTGCGCTTTTTAAGTATGTTCGAGGGCTTATTTGACAGTTCTCCCAAAAAACTACAACAGTGCATGAGTGCATCAATACACTCTTGGCACAACCTAATTTTAGTCAATTTTATCTTGAACGTGTTATATCATCATATTTATGAAACTTAAAATAATCATTTTTATTTTTGATTAAGTATCCAGCAAAACAAACAAATTACAATAACATAGCTAATAGGTTCTATTAACTCAAATATCCTTTTATCACACAGAAAATATCAAAACAGCTTCAACGAACCTTGGCTTGGTCAGTGAGGAGCTCAGTGCCAGCTGGGTAAGAAGCATAATATTGGTCGCCTCTTGAGTACCCAGCTCGAGTACTGCAATGCATTAACAAGATGGCATAAATGAAAATGCATATACATTCCACTATTGAGTGTGCAATGAAAATTTGGAATTGAATTTCTTGACATAGGAACACTATGGTGATAAGATATGATTAACTAGACCATTGGTCTGTTGCATACAACACCTAACATTTCAATGGTATAGACTTCACATTTTTGGTATTTAAATAATAATACAGATACTGAACACAGTGGCGGAACCAGAACAGATTTTGAGGGGATGCTGAAAAGTAAAGAGATTTTTTTTGTGTGTGAGAATTTTTTAGTATACCCTCTAACTTCATTTTGAAGCAATTAAATACATAATTTTTAAATCAGGAACATATATATTAAACTATATAGGAGAGAACATACATACCATTTATTAAATGTATATAAGAAAACATATATACCACTTAACCATTTACACAAAATGATGTATATTAGAAAGAGAATCAAAACGAAAAACAGATCTACACACGAAAAATTTGTCCTATTATTTCTTTATTATCATAAGCCTCACTATTCCGTACTAACAATTACACATGAATGATTTTACAAATTATAAACTAATAAAATCCATAATTTCCATTCAAGGAATCTAGCCAAGTAATCCTTATGATACATAAATAGTAAAATGGCCTTATACGTAGCATTTAATACTTTAATAGTATAGTTTAATTAATTTTAAATGCATACTATTATTATAGCATAATAATTAATATGACATGTCAGCAGTACATACTCCGTAGAAAATACTCCAGTACGGCTTTGCTGAATTAAGCCACTGTAATAGAAATGCAGACACCGAATATCTCGGTTATGGAGAGTAAATAAGGAATAAGGGCTACAGGTTTGCTGAATTCAGTAATTTGGGCCGGTCAGAAGCCCAGTATGTTCATTATTCTGCAGTTATTTATACTACTAAGCAAAACGTCGCTGTTGGACTAAATGAAATAAACCTACGGGACTTTTACGCTGTTCACTCCTTTCAGCAGCAGGGGCGCAAATAAACAGGTCGGCGAACCACGGAAGAAGACGATAATCTCCAGGGACGCGGTGCAAACAAATGAACAATACATATATCTACCTTAGCTATTCCGGCAAACGGGGGGCGCCAGCACAGGCTCCCCCCCCCCCCCCCCCCCCATTTCCGCCACTGACCGGACATAATTTCCAATAATATTATTATTAATTTCTAAAGTTAGTCATTATAAGGAGAAGGTGCCTAGAATATCCAAGTGCTAGTCACTGATTTGAAACCCATACATTTCTGCAACCATGAACACCTGACATGTTCAATCAAGTAAGCAAAATCCGAAGCAGAGGTGTTCACCTTAAAAACAGAAATTGGCTTTCGGTTACACAAATCTATAAAGGTGGGGGGCATATTAAGACTTACGTATTATTGGTGTACATATAAGTAAGGAGTGCAGTGAAGCAATAGAATCCGGCATAGGACACTACTCTTCGCAATTTCTGGATCTTTAGGATTTGTAGACATCCATCATACACCCACATTTCTTCTGTTCCCACAATGGAACGCACACCTAAAAAACAAAATTCCAGATGGAAACCATTATTGAGTCTCTGGTCATACACATGCTCCAACTCTCATCCAGTGGTTCATTTACAGAACAATATTTCAAAAACCAAAAATCAAGATGAAGAGCATACCAGTATGCAGTGTTTTACAAGCTCTGTGCTCTGTTCCAGAAAGTGTGAGTAAGGAGTTGAAAAGTACTTAATGTGGTAGTTACAACCTACATACTGTTAGAATTCAAAAAGTACTATTCGCAATGTCAGGTCTAAGCCAAGAGCTTCAAATTAACGTGAAGAATTGAAAGGTCACCAACTTATCATCAGACACTCTGCAGCATGAAAGAGAGGTACCAGCCTAATCCAGGTGGGCCCAAAGTTTTCATACATATAGCATAACATTAATTGCGAAAAAAGTAAAACACACAAATTAATACTCCCTCTGTCCATTTTTATTTAGCCAAACGCTATTTTCCAAATCAATGATGTTCATCTTTGATTGATTATATATTTATACACGGTAATAAGGATAATATGAAAATGATATGAAAATGTTCTTTGCTAAAAGTACTATCACAAAAGTATAAATTTATTATATTTCAAACACATACGAAGTATGCGATAGTATTAGTTAAAATAATGGATCAAAGTACATCATCTTTGATTGAAAAAGTCAAAGATGTCTAAATAAAAAAGGACAAAGGTAGTATTACGTAGTACAAATGTTTTACAACAATAAAAATTTCCATCAAAGTCAAATAAAAAAACATATCATAAATTCATAATCGTTCTTTAAGGGTTTTCATACATCGATATCACCAGATAATGAGATAATGACAACAATGTCAAATATCAAGAAGATATCTTTTTCACAAAGATACCTTTTTCTCTATCTGTTTACATAAACTATTTGAAGTTTCTTCAACTAGATGTCTAGATCTACTAGAGGCTATTACAATTCTTAGTAAAATATCTTCATTAGCTTCTACTTCAACAGATCTATAGTATCTCGTCAAGTCTAGCTTCATTAGTTTTTTATACACCACAACAATCCACCACATCATAGGATAAGTTAGAAAATAGCAAAAAGATCCTCATAAGTAATACTAACAAAAACTAATTGTATTAAAACTACACAATGACATTAATACTCACATATCACAATCATACTAATAATAATTAATTAATACTAAAGGCTTAATCCTAAACGTCTAAATAATGAGATTAATACTGACAAAGATATTAATGCTAATCAGATTAAATGATTAATACTAACTAATGGGATTAATATTCATAGACACAAATCACAATCATATTATACATTGCCCATAAACATTTAACACAAATCACAATCATATCATAAATTTCCCATAAACGTTCAGCACAAATCATAATCAAATTACAGAAAATTACATACCACAAAAATTGATTTATGATAGCAAACTTTCTAAATAAGCAATGTTATGAAAATGCCTAGCAGGTGTTAGTCAGTAGGCACTGTGATTGAGGTAAAACAACTAGGCAGATGCATTTGGGGTTGCTGTAAATTTGAGGTATCAAAAACAGGAAAATAAATTTTTCATATGGATTTGAGGTATCAAAAACAGGAAAATAAACTTTGCGCATTCAGACGGAAGAACGAATTTAAAATTCCTAAACTGCACTTTTTGAAATTTGAGAAAACTACAATTTACTGATTGAACAAAAATGGTAAACTAGTAATTGAATCTGATTTCTATAAAACACATAATCATAAAAAATCATTAAGTATATCATAAACTAGTTTTTCTATTTTAAATAAACTGTGGAATTTAATTTCTAATTTAAGATTACCTCCCTGAGTAGTGAGTCGGAAAGACAGAAATCAGTTTTTCTTTCCGGCTTGCAGGTGCGGCAGATGGCAGCGAGCTGCGAGCGGTATCCGATGGCGGCTCGAGGGCTCGCAGGGGTGAGGCGGACGCTGGTAGCTGGTGCAAACTAGCTGTTGAAGAGGACGGGTTGTGGCTTCGTCATTGATGCTGAATTGTTTTGCTGGTATGAGAAGAGATGGCCAGAGACGATTGGGTACGACAAAGGTTTCTTGTTTTGAGCCCTTTTTCTGAAGAATTAGATAGAAATATAAACATAATTACACATATAGGAATAAAACTTAAAACTTCCTTTAATAGGAGTAAATATTAATTTTGTACCTTTAATATCCCTAACCTAGTTAATTCTAAAATATGACTTATTTAAACCTAACCTAATTAATTTATGACTTATTCGATAATAATAATTTATTTATTTATTTATTTTTCAAAAAATAAAAAAATATAATTTAAAAAAAAAAACTCAAAAAACTAAAATAAAATTCACGGCCGCCTCTGCCGTCTCAGCACCACCACCTCCAGTCACCAGGGGAAAAATGCCAAGTTCATTACGAATGCCATACTTATGGCAGAAAACAATGAAAATGTTGGCATTCGCAAAGAGAAATATGCCATGTTTTTGGCATTTTCAGAAAAAAAGACAGTTTTTAGGAAAAATGGAATTTTTTTCACCGCTCGGAGGTGGTGGTGCAGGGAGGTAGTACAAGCGGTGGGAAAGGCATCCATATTTTTTCCACTCATCAAAAACTTAAATAATCTATAAGTCTTATAATTAACATAAATACCTTAAAAAATTTAAATGTTAATGAAAAAAGAATTATGAAAGTAACAAGAATAGACATTCAAATATAATTAAATAAATATGGGTATCTGACATTTCGTGCATCACATTCCGACCGCAAACCAAACAGGCCCTTAGATCACTCATACCAAAATTAAGCTTAAATACATTTTTGGACCGTACAAATATGAGCCAAAATTTCTTAGCTCTCACAATTTTTTATTTTTATTTTTCATCTCTATGATATGAATTTTATGATTGGTTTATAACTTAAATTTGACGGGGAGTGCCAAAGTTTGGGCGGCATAGGATGTTTTTACTTAGATTGTAATTCCTCCCAGACCAGACCAACCCAGTTCAGATCAGACCAGACAAGTTCAGACCAGACCAGACCAACAAATTACAATCAAGTAAAAACATCCATAGCCGCATGGGTAAAGCAAGCAGTTATCGATTATAACAAACCAACAATCTAGCTTCATCAGGGCTGAGGAGTGCAAGAGGGGCGACCGCCCTAGGCCTGAAAAAAATAAAAGAAAAATAATCCATTTTTTTTTCTTTATATATAGTTTGAGTAGACTTCTCTTTTTATTCTTTAGTTCAATTAATTAGACTAATGTTTAATTTTGTTGACAATTTTTGTTTTTTGGAAGAAAATTTTGTTGACAATTTGAAAATTTAAAATATAAATAAAAAGTGTTAAACATAGCCAAGCTAAAAAAAGAATATACACATCAATTTTAAGTAGGATCATTTGTAGTTTTTTAAAATCAATACAATTGTTGATGCATCAATAAAAGACGCGCCTCTTTAGTTTTCACATCTTTTTAGGCTTTTTATTCATTTTAATTATAACATAAAACTTTTATATAATTTGATGGAGTATATGGCCCAGGAACCCCCGGCCCATAGTGTGACACCGTCCTGAAGCATGTTTACTTTTAGTAAATTATGTAATAAACCTTGAAGGATGATTTATGAATTTGCGTAATTGATAATTTTTATTCTCTTTTACGTGAATAGTAAATTGCATGTGGGGCCCACAGCGGGAACGGGGACCGCCCGATAATTCTAGAATCACATATTATATTCATCTTGGTCTAGATGACATCTATATGGTGGTGGATATTTTATTTGGGCCATGGAAAGGGCATGAAGTTGACCGGTAGGTCAAACGAGGCCCAATTACCGGTATTGGTAATTTAGCAACTAACAGCCCGAAATGAATTTCGGAGACTCTTAAATTAATATTGGGGATGCACATCTATTCTAAAGGCCTATAATTATTACGAACGTGCGATATATTTTATTTGGCCCGATAAAATAAAATATAACTTAAACAGTCTGAGAAATACAACTTTCGGAGCCAATTACACACACCGGGACATATTGGGATGACCTTCCACATGAGTGGGGGCCACCCCACGTTTTTGTGCTCTAATTGACAAGAGGAGAGCTGGAAGGGGCAAGGAAAGGATGACTTGTGCGGACAAAACAAGGAAGGAGGCTTCCTAGAGACAAGATATACAGCCCATGACCCATCACCAAAATTATTTTGGTTGATTGAACAAATGATACCTCCCCCCTATCCTTGCACTCATTCAGCCGACACAAGAGAAGAGAGAAAAACTCCAGGGAGCTATCTCAACAAAGCCATAGTTGGAGGAAGCTAGGAAGAAGGAAATCCTAGGAGAAAACTAGCTAAAAAGAAGGTAAGAACTCATCTATCCTCCTTTAACTAGTTTATTCTTGTATGAATTTTTTGGAAATCATGTGGTGGATTAAACCATGAGTTCTACACGTTTAAAAGTGTAGAATATTGATAGAAAGTGGTGGTAATTAACTTAGGAGGGTCGGCCAATCGATAGGAGTCGAAATCGCCGGAAACCACCACTCCAAAGGAGCTGTTCGTAGTTGCAGACTACGAAAGTCGTCCGGCTTTCGTGAAAGCCGCCCGGCTTTTGCCCAGCAATCCAGTTTTTCACTTTCGAACGGCCTAAAAACGAGGACGGGTCGAAGGGCTTTGCAAAGGCAACTAGTCAAACACTCTATAAGGTGAGGATGACTGACTATGTTGCTTATAATTAGTGAGTTAATTTCATGAGATTACCTAAGGTAATTAAATGTGTTTTTATGGATTATTAATGATTAACAATGCCTAAAAATGAGAAGATTATTGTTTATGAGAAAAGGAGCATGATATACAAATTTTAGGAATAAATTGTGTATGATCATGTGTTATGAGTATGTTGACTTGAAAATGGAATTAACTATGAAATGCATGTTGAAATATACTTTTTACTTCATATAAGAAAATATGAATGATTAAAAGTGATATTTTGGTATCTTGATATTATGATGATATTTACAATGGAAAATCAGTGCGGCATTCTATAAATGACCATGAATAGAGAACTTGGTTTTGGTTGGAATTAATTGGACTAGTATTGATATACTAGTTGGGCATTAAAATGAAATCTTGTTAAAATTGATCCTAAGGTTGGATTGTGAAGTATTATGCCTTAAGTAGTCTTAAGAGATGCTTTAAGGTAGGAAGGTATGAACCTTAAGTTATACTAGAGGTAGGCCTTAAGGGATACCCAAGATAAATTGAATAATAATAAATTGATCCTAGGTATAGGATTAGCCTACGCGCGTGTTCGGTAGTCCTTGAGGATAGCCGGTTGAATTATGGGAATAAGTAAGGACCATGGCCCTTCCGACTCTAGAGAGCGGGGTTGGATAGCATGGACTTGCATCGTGATCACGAGTTAGGGTGGAATCCGAATCGGAGATCTAACTAGGCTTTGGTAGCGGTAACACATAAGATAGGACCCCGAAGGGCCTTACCTTCCTACGGGATGATGGGTATGTGTCCAGGGGCGGGATGTTGAAATCCAAACCGAGAACCTCATGAGGTCTCCGACAGCGGTAGCAAATCCCGTAGAAATAATAAGACCCACGAGTTGGGTTGAACAAATGATAAATGCAAAGAATATATGAGAAGGGCCGTGTGCCGACAAATAAATGAATTTACTTATTATAGAGATGATAAGTGGGAAATATAAATTATTATTTATATTCTGATATCACCCTATTTTGAGGGTTTTAGAAATTAAAGCGTTGATTATACTCGGTATAGTTGTCATTGTACTTGTCAAATGCTTCTAAGTACTGACCTCCCCTTCACGGGGGAGGCCACCTCACAGTTTCAGGTAGAACTTGAAGGTTGTTACCACCATCCGTTGCTTCGGGGAGATCAAGGGAAGAAGACTTGGTTCGTGCTTCTTCCGTTTCTATTTTGAAAACAATTTAAATAATGCTCATGGATATTATTTTTGAATAATTATTTGGGGGCTTGTATGCCATGTTTGCCAAGGTGTGGCATAGACACTTGTATTAAATGTTTCCGCTGTTTTAAATGAATGTTTTACATTTTGTTTGTTTATGGATGTACTATGTGTGAATGGTATTCAAGACGCCTTGTATAGTATGGATGAGTTGGACTGCGGTTGACTATTCGTACTGTACGGCGGGTTGTTGACATGTCCGGGTAGGTCCGGGGCATGACAATTTAATTGGTATCAGAGCCTTAGTCCGTAAACATCATAATGAAGCTTCAAAATTCTTTTTGAAAAAAAAAACGAATTTGAAAACCATGAGCATAAGAAGTTTTGTACTTATAGAACTTTTGGTACTTGAGTTGCAATGTCTCTAATTGTTAAGATGGTACCCTTAACAATTGGTAAGGCGGTGATTTGAGCCAAAAGATGTCTTTAAGTGCCTATCCGTCAATTGATATTTGATACGAGTTTAATGACTCATTCTCAACTTCTTTCAGAAATGGAACGTACCGGTAGAATCACTCGAAGAAACCCGACTGGCCAGGCACCCGGAAGGTCCCAACATGGCAGTCGAGGGGCATCGAGGGTGTCTCGGAGACAGGGCCGTGCAGGCCACTCGCTGACCGTGAGTGACGGTCATGTGGAAACAATTGATGAGCATTATGAGTCCGAGGAAGATTCGACTTACCAACCGGGAACTGAGCCGGTTGAGACCCCATGTGATGGGGAATACGACGATGCTAGCGATGAGAGCGATGATAATGACGTTCTTGAACGGATTGAGGAATTGCTTCGGCAATACCACCAAGATCGCCAAAGGCGCCAAGCAAGGCGTGCTTTGGGAGGGGCTTAAAGAAGGGGAAGCCATGTTACCCCTAGAGAGAGCATAGAACTTAGTGGAGGGAGAGATGCTGAGGTCCTTATAATAAGGATCTCAAAGTACCTCAAAGAGGCAAGAGATTTGGGGTGTAAACCATTTGATGGAACGGGAGACATCTCCGTTGCGGCCGAGTGGATCAAAAGAATCAACGAAGCGGCCCTCGACATGCAGATGCCACCCAACATGAAGTTGAGAGTGGCCACGAGATTACTAGAAGGCATGGCGTCCACATGGTGGGACGGAACAAAAGGGAAGTACGACGAAGCCGTCACTTGGGAGAATTTCCGACAGGAATTCTTCAGCCAATACTACTCCGACTTTGAGGTGAACTTGAAGAGGAGGGAGTACACAAATTTGACCCAAGGAGGTCAATGCACGGTGAAGGAACTTGAGCACAAGTTCAGGAAACTTGCTGAGTTCATCTCGGAGTACATTTGTGACGAGAACCGGATGGTGAACCACTTCTGGGATGCCTTGGACCTTGACATACGTGAGAGGGCAACACAATTGCCTAATATGACGTTTAGTCAAGTGGTTGAACAAGGCTTGAAAGGGGAGAAAGAGTGGGAAGAAAGAAAAAGGAAAAACGCCGAGGAGGCAAAGAAAAGGAAATGGGAGAGCAATGGCCCCCAAGGTTCTAACAAGAAGGGGAACCACGGGGGGGGGGGGGGGATCCTTTAGAACCCCTGCACCACCGGTGAGGGGAAATCATGGCCCAAGCGGGCAAAGCTCTATGTCACAAGGCTCGGGAATGAAGAGGTGTAGAACCTGCAAGAAGAACCACCTGGGCAAGTGTCGTGATCCCCCGAGATGCTATCAATGCGGGGAGGTTGGTCATTTGAAGGTGAGTTGCCCACAACTTGGGCGAGCCATGGGGGCCGGACCAAGTAGTGGAGCGACGGTGAGCAGAAATCGAACAGGGGCACCAAATGCTAGTGGTGGGCACGATGGAGCGAGTGCGAGCAACGCGCCATCCGTAAATCAAGGGAAAACCCAAGCTCGGGTCTATGCTATGACGGAGGCGGATGCTCGTGCCAACCCGGACTCCGTTGCGGGTAATTCCTTAAACTCACGTTTTAATCTATTATATGCAATAGGAGGGTTGAACTTGTAAATTTATAACCCCGACGAGTTTGGTCGGGTTTGGAGAGAAAAAGGGGAGGAGAATCCTTGCCCTGGGCGAATGCCGCCCGGCTTTGACGGAAGCCACCCAGCTTTCGTCTGAATTAAATTCAGAAAAATACTACGACGCTCGATGACGGCCGGCTTTCCTAGAAACCGGCCGGCTTTCATAAATGATTAATCTGGGGAATTTCTCGCAGCTGAAAACCGGCCGGCTTTCGTAGAAACCGGCCGGCATTTGTAATAATAGACCAGAATAAACTACGGTGCCAAAACCCGGCCGGCTTTCGTGGAAACCGGTCGGCGTTCGTTGGGCCTGGGAAATCCGGCGCTGCTGAACCCCGACCGGCTTTCGTAGAAACCGGCCGGCTTTGGATTAATTTTCGTTAAAAATGCTACGGTGATGAAAACCGGCCGACATTCGTGGAAACCGGCCGACTTTCATAATTAATTAACACCAGACTTCTCGCAGCCAAACCCCGGCCGACTTTCGTAGAAACCGGCCGGCTTACGTAACGACCAGTTCAGGGTTGAACGAAAACCGGTCGGCTTTTGCGAAAAGCGGTCGGCTTTCCCCTGTTGGTGCACTACGTCGGTTCTTGAGGGTGAGAACCGGGCGGGTTGTGATGGGACATTGAACGACTTCCATCTAGACCGTAGTTGATACATTCTTTAACCAAAGAAGCGGGTCTATACCTAGAAAGTGTGTCTTACATTGCTTATGAATATAGGAACACTAAAGATAAACGGGAGAGATGCAAGAATCCTTATTGATACCGGGGCGCAACGATCATTTGTGAGTGAGACGTTCGCCGGGGGATTCAATGAACTGCTTGTACCGATGACTCAAACCCTATTGGTGTCCACACCTCTAGGGGATGATATCGAAAGAGATAGCCATTATCCATCGTGTGAGGTGGAGGTGGAGGTGGAGGGCCAAAATTTGACGTGTGATTTCGTACCGCTGAGTATGATCGAGTTTGATGCAATCCTCGGAATGGATTGGCTTGAGAGACATCATGCTAGGGTCGATTGCTACACGAAGGTTCTTGAACTCGAAAGCGGTGAAGGATTGACTTTACGCTTTGAGGGAGATAGAGGCAAATCAAACAGTTGTATCATATCCGCCGTGAGAGCGAGGAATATGATGAGAAAGGGATGCCACACATATCTAACATACGTGGTGGATAAAGCCAAATAAGAGACAGACATCAATGATGTGCGAGTAGTGTGCAAGTATCCGGATGTCTTCCCAAAAGACTTGCCGGGACTTCCACCCGATAGGGAGATTGAGTTCGTGATCGAGGTTGAACCCGGCACCAAACCAATCTCTATACCGCCATACAGAATGGCACCCGCTGAACTTAATGAGTTGAAAACCCAATTGCAAGAGCTATCGGATAACAGTTTCATAAGGCCGAGTCACTCTCCGTGGGGAGCACCGGTACTTTTCGTGAAAAAGAAGGATGGAACACTTCATATGTGCATTGACTACCGTCAACTGAACAAGGTCACGATCAAGAATAGGTATCCTTTACCTAGAATTGATCACTTGTTTGATCAACTTCGAGGAGCAACGGTGTTTTCGAAGATCGAATTGAGGTCGGGGTACCATCAACTGAAGATAAAGGAGGATGACATACCGAAGAGTGCTTTTCGCACGAGGTATGGTCATTTCGAGTTCCTAGTCATGTCGTTTGGGCTAACGAACGCCCCGACGGCATTTATGGACTTGATGAACCGAGTATTTCATAAATACTTGGACCGGTTTGTAATTGTGTTCATAGATGACATCTTGATTTACTCAAAGAGTGAAGAAGAGCATGAGGAGCATTTGATACTTGTTCTTGAGACACTACGGGAGAAGCAACTCTATGCCAAGTTTTCCAAATGTGAATTTTGGCTAAGGGAGATTGGCTTTCTCGGACATGTGGTTTCGGGATCAGGGATTGCCGTAGATAACAAGAAGATTGAAGCCATTACCGAAAGGGAGAGGCCAAAGAACGTCAAGGAAATTCGTAGTTTCCTTGGATTGGCAGTTACTACCGAAAATTCGTGGAGAAGTTCTCAGTTTTGGCATCGCCATTGACAAAGCTCACTCGAAAAGGGGCTAAGTTTGTATGGGATGACCGATGTGAGAAAGGATTCCTAGAATTAAAGAAGAGATTGACCGAGGCACCGTTACTTGCATTACCCAAACAGGGGATGGGGTATGATGCCTATAGCGATGCGAGCATCCAATGGCTTGGATGTGTATTGATGCAGAATGGGAGGTGATTGCCTATGCTTCACGGCAGTTGAAGAAGCATGAGGTAAATTATCCTACTCATGATTTAGAGTTGGGAGCTGTGGTGTTTGCACTGAAGATATGGAGACATTATCTCTACGGGGAGACGTGTCACATATACACTGACCACAAGAGCTTGAAATATGTGTTTACTCAGAAAGAGTTAAACATGAGGCAGAGGTGATGGATGGAGTTGATAAAAGACTACCATCTAGTTAGTGATACCATTCCGGTAAAGTCAACGTGGTGGCGGATGCCTTGAGCCGAAAGAGTTCGTCAGGGGCATTGTTGACTAGCTTGAGGGCATTGAGAGCCCAATTGGAGGTGGCTAACGATGGTGCCTTGCTAGCAAGATTCGAGATGAGACCCACATTACTTGATGAAATCAAGAAGGGTAAAGAAACTGATGAAGAGCTTATGAAGGTCCGTGAACGCATGCTAGCGGGACCGGTTGAGGATTTCAGGGAAAGAGATGATGGTCTTATTATTTCGTGACCGAGTGTGTGTACCGTCGAATGATGAACTACGAAAGTCCATCTTAGAGGAAGCTCATTCATCAGCATATGCCATGCATCCGGGAGGCACGAAAATGTACCGTGATCTGAAGGAAAGTTACTGGTGGTCTGGCATGAAGAGGGAAATAGCCGAGTACATCGGTAGGTGTCTTACTTGTCAACAAGTTAAGGCAGAACATCAGCATCCAGCTGGGTTATTACAACCACTTTCCATTCCTGAATGGAAGTGAGAACACGTGACTATGGATTTCGTGGTGGGGCTGCCACGGATGGTTAAGAACTATGACGCCGTATGGGTTGTGGTTGATAGGCTCACGAAGAGTGCACATTTTCTACCTATCAACACCACCTATGCACTGGAGAGGTTAGCCAAGTTGTATGTGGATGAGATCGTGAGGCTACATGGGGTTCCGATATCCATTGTATCTGATAGAGATCCGCGATTCACATCACGATTTTGGCCGAAGTTCTAAGAATATATGGGGACAAAGTTGAAATTTAGTACAGCTTTTCACCCGCAAACGGATGGTAAATCCGAGCGGGTTATATAGATATTAGAGGATATGCTGAGAGCTTGTGCATTGGAGTTCCAAGGGAGTTGGGACAACCATTTGGCACTTGTGGAGTTTGCCTATAACAACAGTTATCAGGCGAGTATAGGCATGCCTCTATACGAGGCATTGTATGGGAGGAGATGTCGTACACCCTTGTGTTGGGATGAGGTTGGCATGGCCAAACTCGAGAGCACGGAACTGGTGGAGATATCCAAGTCAAAGGTGAAGATGATTCGTGATAGACTTAAGGCGGCACATGATAAACAAAAGAGCTATGTCGGTAAGCGGCGAAGAGCCTTAGAGTTTAAGGTTGGAGATGAGGTATTTTTGAAGGTTTCACCTTGGAAATGAATCATCCGATTTTAGAGCCGAGGGAAACTTAACCCACGCTACATAGGGTCATTTGTAATTCTTGAGAGAATTGAGGCCGTAGCATACCGATTGCAGTTGACTCCGGAATTGGAGAAAATACACCACGTGTTCCATGTGTCAATGCTTAAGAAGTATATTCCGGATCCGTCTCATGTGTTAGAGAAACCACCCTTGGAAATACGGGAAGACTTGAATTATGTCGTGTAACCGGTGAGGATACTTGACAGGCAAGTCAAGAAGTTGAGGAGCAAGAAAGTTCCAATGGTTAAAATCCTTTGGAAAAGTGACCGAGTTGAAGAGGAAACTTGGGAAACGGAAGCCCTAATGAGGGAATAGTATGCTTTCCTGTTTGAATAAGCGTTGTGAATTTCGGGGACAAAATTCCCGTTAAGGGGGGTGAACTTGTGACACCGTCCCCAAGCATGTTTACTTTTAGTAAATTATGTAATAAACCTTGAAGGATGATTTATGAATTTGCGTAATTGATAATTTTTATTAGCTCTTTCACGTGAATAGTAAATTGCATGTGGGGCCCACAGCGGGAACGGGGACCGCCCGATAATTCCAGAACCACATATTATATTCATCTTGGTCTAGATGACATCTATATGGTGGTGGATATTTTATTTGGGCCATGGGAAGGGCATGAAGTTGACCGGTGGGTCAAACGAGACCCAATTACCGGTATTGGTAATTTAGCAACTAACAGCCCGAAATGAATTTCGGAGACTCTTAAATTAATATTGGGGAATGTACATCTATTCTAAAGGCCTATAATTATTAGGAACGTGCGATATATTTTATTTGGCCCGATAAAATAAAATATAACTTAAACAGTCCGAGAAATACAACTTTCGGAGCCAATTACACACACCGGGACATATTGGGATGACCTCCCACATGAGTGGGGGCCACCCCACGTTTTTGTGCTCTAATTGACAAGAGGAGAGCTGGAAGGGGAAAGGAAAGGATGACTTGTGCGGACAAAACAAGGAAGGAGGCTTCCTAGAGACAAGATATACACCCCATGATCCATCACCAAAATTATTTTGGTTGATTGAACAAATGATACCTCCCCCCTATCCTTGCACTCATTCAGCCGACACAAAAGAAGAGAGAAAAACTCCAGATTGCTATCTCAACAAAGCCATAGTTGGAGGAAGCTAGGAAGAAGGAAATCCTAGGAGAAAACTAGCTAAAAAGAAGGTAAGAACTCATCTATCCTCCTTTAACTAGTTTATTCTTGTATGAATTTTTTGGAAATCATGTGATGGATTAAACCATGAGTTCTACACGTTTAAAAGTGTAGAATATTGATAGAAAGTGGTGGTAATTAACTTAGGAGGGTCGGCCAATCGATAGGAGTTGAAATCGCCGGAAACAGCCACTCCAAAGGAGCTGTTCGTAGTTGCAGACTACGAAAGTCGCCCGGCTTTCGTGAAAGCCGCCCGGCTTTTGCCCAACAGTCCAGTTTTTCACTTTCGAACGGCCTAGAACGAGGACGAGTCGAAGGGATTTGCAAAGGCAACTAGTCAAGCACTCTATAAGGTGAGGATGACTGACTATGTTGCTTATAATTAGTGAGTTGATTTCATGAGATTACCTAAGGTAATTAAATGTGTTTTTATGGATTATTAATGATTAATAATGCCTAAAAATGAGAAGATTATTGTTTATGAGAAAAGGAGCATGATATACAAATTTTAAGAATAAATTGTGTATGATCATGTGTTATGAGTATGTTGACTTGAAAATGGAATTAACTATGAAATGCATGTTGAAATATACCGTTTACTTCATATAAGAAAATATGAATGATTAAAAGTGATATTTTGGTATATTGATATCATGATGATATTTACAATGGAAAATCAGTGGGGCATTCTATAAATGACCATGAATAGAGAACTTGATTTTGGTTGGAATTAATTGGACTAGTATTGATATACTAGTTGGGCATTAAAATGAAATCTTGTTAAAATTGATCCTAAGGTTGGATTGTGAAGTATTATGCCTTAAGTAGTCTTAAGAGATGTTTTAACTTTTAAGGTAGGAAGGTATGAACCTTAAGTTATACTAGGGGTAGGCCTTAAGGGATACCCAAAATAAATTGAATAATAATAAATTGATCCTAGGTATAGGATTGGCCTACGCGCGTGTTCGGTAGTCCTTGAGGATAGCCGGTTGAATTATGGGAATAAGTAAGGACCATGGCCCTTCCTGACTCTAGAGAGCGGGGTTGGATAGCATGGACTTGCATCATGATCACGGGTTAAGGTGGAATCCGAATCGGAGATCTAACTAGGCTCCGGTAGCGGTAACACATAAGATAGGACCCCAAAGGCCTTACCTTCCTACGGGATGATGGGTATGTGTCCAGGGGCGGGATGTTGAAATCCGAACCGAGAACCTCATGAGGCCTCCGACAGCGGTAACAAATCCCGTAGAAATAATAAGACCCACGGGTTGGGTTGAACAAATGATAAATGCAAAGAATATATGAGAAGGGTCGTGTGCCGACAAATAAATGAATTTACTTATTATAGAGATGATAAGTGGGAAATATAAATTATTATTTTTATTATGATATCACCCTATTTTGAGGGTCTTAGAAATTAAAACGTTGATTATACTCGGCATAATTGTCATTGTACTTGTCAAATGCTTCCAAGTACTGATCTTCCAAGTACGCGCCCCAAGTGTCAAGCAGCCCACAGGGGTGCCTTCAGCCCCCTGGCCGAAGGCTCATAAGCTAACGGTACAGCTTCATTAAAGCCCTCAAAGTGTCTGGGAGGAAGCGGTGAAAACAGGAACCCTCGTCACCTAGAGCCCTCGGTATTTGGAGGCCCCCGGTATGAAGAGCCTTCGGCCAATCATCTACGGCCGAAGGCATCTCCTCGACAGAATCTCCCACCCACATGCGCCGGATCAACGTACCAAGTACAAACGTCACATCCAACCACCGCATTTAATGCGGCCACATGCGAGTGCCAGTGCCACCCCGCTAAGGTGACCCCTCGACCACCAGAATGATGACATGTGTCCCTATCTGGCATTTATTGCTACTATAAATAGCACCCCTTTTCCCCATTTGTAATCCACGCTTAATACGCTCAGTATATTCTCAACAATATACACTCTCTCTCTTACTTACTTGCTCTGACTTCTCTCTATGTTATTCCCGCAATAACCCCTCAGATAAGATACCCCCGGGTACACTTATCCATCATAATTATTTTAGAGTCTATCTCTCTCAAATCTCATCCCAATTATTTATTTGTTTCCAAATTTCAATAAATTATATTTGAGTTCCTAATAGTAGTTTTAGAGGACGTCAAACAGGCAGTCTTCTTGCGCTTGTCTTCTTGGCGGCCAAACATTTTGTCTCTTTGAAAACCTTCATTCTTTCGAGACTTCAAACTTTAGACTCCCATCAGCGGTGAATAAATCATTCTCAACTTATGAATGAGGGAGTTTAGTGT